CTACTTTTCAAGTAACTTTAATGAAATCAATATCCTTGGAGTAAGCAACTGTGATGTAAACAAAGCTTAACTATGTCAGAGTACCATGTTAAAAATTGAATTTAACTGGTAGGAACTGTGTTGAAACTGGTTTTTAGTTCTGCATCTTTTCTAAGCAACTAGAATAGCGTTTCTCAAAGTAGAATTCTGATTCCATGACATTTGGTTAGCTAAGTTTAGAAACTCTGAATATGTCTCCCGGCCGCCCGCCTTAATGTTTCTACATTAAAGAAGCTTGTTTCACCTAGCATTTCTGAAATGTTTTACCATGGAAACCATTTTCTATGGAACTGCTATTTAGTTCCACTAAAGAAAGATACTTGAAGAAAAACTGGTCTAGCATTAGTTATATTTATTTCAGTGTGATAACTTCACAATTAAACTTTCTTGAAAAGATTTTAAAAAAGAAACTTTCTTAACTCTTGGATTCACTAACTAGAATTAAAATGAAAAATTATGGGGGCTACCGTCCACAGCCCTTCTTACTGACAGTGCCTTTGCTGAAGTAGTTTTAAAGACATGGCTAAAAGTAATCCTGTTCCAGAGTTAATGGAATGATAAACATTTTATGTAAAATTCAGCAACTTAACATAATGCCATTGTTTTGGGATTTTCTTGTACTGGGTTCTCAAATCAGTGCACGTCTGTTACCTGAGAAGTTGACAATTTATACAACATTAGTTGGACTACTGAATGCCAGGAATTACAACTTTGGTGGAGAATTTGTAGAGGCTATGATTCGTCAGCTTAAAGAATCATTGAAAGCAAACAGTTACAATGAAGCTGTATATTTGGTAAGTTTGTTTTTTGTTTGTTTAGGGTTCTTTTTGTTATATTATGATTTAGCATTGGGGTGGAGGGAAGATGAGCTGTAACCAAATAATTTAAAGACTCTTTCCTGAATCATTCTCATTCACTCTCATAGCTTCATAAACCACCTTTATTTTGATGATGCTGCCAAATCTGTAACTGTATCTCCAACTTCAGCCTTTCCCCTGAGTGCCAGACCTATTACAAATACTACCTGCGTAGCCCTAAGATATCTTACTTGGAAGTTTCTAAATTAATTCATTATTCATATTTCCTTGCCTTCTGTCCTCTCCCTGGGGTCCACTGTATACTGGGTAACCCATTTAGAAACGTGAACATTAATTTTTATCTTTCGTTTGCCCCCTTATACCATAAGCGTCCCCAGGCCCTGTCATTCTACCTCCTAAATTTTTCTCAAATCTGTCCCTTCTGTCTCCAGGGCTTCTAGCGTAGTTCATGCCCTCTTTCTCATGTCCTTAACAGCCTCTAAACTGATCCTTTTCCATCTAGATTCTCTGCCTTTTACTTTATGATCTACAGTGGCACCAGAGTGGTCTTTCTGTAACTAGGCTCTGCTCATGTTG